AATTTAAAATAGAAACTAATGGAATAAAATATTTCAAGATGTTTCAATTTAAAATAGAAACTAATGGAATAAACTACTTAAAGATGTTTCAATTTAAAATAGAAACTAATGGCATAAAATACTTAAAGATATTTCCATTTGAAATAGAAAATAAATAAGATATTTAAGACACATATTTAATAAAAATTCAAAAACTAAATTTGGGTGAACTTGATTAAAAACCTTTTCAAGGGTATTAATAATTTCCTCAGAGGAGTAGAAATATTACAATCCACTTGAGATATTAAAATGTAAAATAGAAACTATATAAGTTATTAAAGACTTTTTTTTTTTTCCAAAAAACTCAAAAACTAAATTTGGATTAACTTGATTAAAAATATTTTCAAGGGTATAAAAATTTCCTCAGAGGAGTAGAAATATGACTTAATATGATTAATATGATTAGGTTATTAAAATTTAAAATAGAAACTAAATATGACATTTAAGAACCATTTTTCCTAAAAAAAAACTTGATTGAAAAATATTTTAGAATTTTCTCTGAGGAGTAGAAATATTACAATCCACTTGAATTATCAGCATATAAAACAGAAACCAAATTAGATATTTAAATGTACTATATTTAGATATTAAAACACTTCCAAAATGAGATCAGATGAACATTAATAAATCTTATCAAAGTTTCTCTGTGGTTCATTAGCAAACAAGTGAATGAATCTTCCTCAGAAGAGACAAAAACAGCAACTCACTTAAATGTCTGACTTGTATTATAATCACGTCCAGAAGCTTTTGGTGAAATTTGAATGTACTCATGAATCTGTTGTTTGACCTCTTCATATTTAAGGAGAGAACTGTAGTTTCCAAAGTCAGACATCGCTTGTTATGATTTTCAGCTTTAGTTTTAGAATTTTCTGAAAAATGGGTCTTTCATATCTTATTTAGTTTCTATTTGAAATTTAAATATCTCAAGTGGAATGTAAACTTGCATTAACTTGATTAAAAAATGTTTTGTAATCTAGTGTGATCATTCACATAAACACAGCATAATGTTAAGAATATATCTTAAGAACTACTCAGAGCAAGTCGCATTTAGTCAAGGGTTTATCAGTTTAACTTTTCTCTCACATTAGATCAATCTACGCTTTTATGCAACTTATGTACAATTTGTGCAAACCTTTTCCTTTGCATTTTATTTTGCACTTTATATAAATGTTAGTCACAAAAGCAAAAAGACAGACATCCGATCACTAGTGAACGAGGCGAAAACAGGAATATTTTGCTCTTGAAGAGCCTCAGATGAATGCGAGAGCAGCTAAAGCCGTCAGAAAATCCTGAAAAAGAGGCTCAACTGAGTCACGGACGACTGAGTATCATCATGAATGCATCAGAGCACTTCAGATACCTGAGACGAGGCTCACAAACTCACACGAACCGAAGCGCCACATAACGAGCTGTTAAAACAGCATTAATATGCTAATGATGCAGATTTCAAGCCATCGGGCCATTCGCAACATACAAACTGAAGAAACAAGAGATACGAGATGAGCTCGAGACATTCAGAAGATGCAGAAGACGAACCCCTGAAACACTTGATCCTCATGCATTACATGCAGCACATCAGTAACGCTCACATGATCTTACCATCCCCTGCTGTCATGACGAGGCTTGGTTCGCAGTAATGAAGCTCTGCTGTGTGTTTCTCTAGTCTTGTGACTGAACACACACACACACACACACACCGCAGAGACTCCCTCTCTACTGACCTCACTCGCATTTAAAGGAACAGCTCACCCAAAAATGAAAGTCTGATGATATTTCTGAATCTGAGCATTAATGTCAATGATATTTCAGAGTCTGTTCTTCACATTAAACCATCATATGATTTCAGAAGACTTGGAGTATATGCAGTATCATACACACACACACACACACACACACACACACACTCTCACTCACACACTC